TATCAATGTGTCACAAACATCGAGAGAGGACGCTGTGTGGGTTGACTTACGAAACACGTGTATGTACATTTCCATGAGTTTGATGAAACAAGCGGAAATGGATTTGTCTGTCGCACGTGGGATGATATTACAAATAATAAACACGCAAACTGTCATAACAGACCGATTTTGCTTCGCTTCAAATCGTCCTTCCCTTGAAAAGAAATCACAACCTGTGGCTACGGGCAACACAAGCTGCGTGTATGTCCGTGTGGATCTCTCACTGATGCTCTGCAACCTCGCATCCATCTCGTGCAATATCTCGCTTTGCGCAGTATCTGGCACCTTCTTATAAGCAGCTGCTTTGAATGCATCTATCATATGCAAAAAAATGTCGTGTTCAATGGTGTGCATACGGTCTGGTTGCAAAGCGAGATGGTAATCTAGTTCAGGATCGTCACCATGCGGACCCCTATAGAATCCCCATAGGCCGTTCTCTTGAACATGCTTGTGCATGTCCAATTCTGACATTCGTGCCTCAGCAGCACGACGAATGTCGTTGTCCCCACTGTTGAAGCAGTCCGCGGCAAGTTGCGTCTCTAGCGTCTGCGATCTCCTGCAGTTGGTGAAATCGGCGATGACATCCAAATCGTCTTTGGACACTGTGCATGTTAGACAAACACCGAATTTCACAGTTGCAAGGGCATACCTTTCAAGATAGTCCTCTATATAGTTCATGACGAAAGGGTGCACTGTTATCTCACCAAACCGCTCCGTTGTTACCATCATGTCGTCATGGGATGCCTCCTTTGCGGACTGCAATACTGTTGACAACGCTTTATGCAATATCACAGTTTTTCGTTTTCTAAACGCGGTGGAGTGTGGACCCTAACCCTTGTCACGTGGCCAGTGTTGAAGCACTGGAAGATACGCAAGCAGTGTGGCATCTGATGGGCGATGGGCGATTGACATCATCAGAGGATACGCTGTCTGCTTTTGACGACCGTCTACATGAGTCTTGTATGAATACAGAGACAGAGGGATGACATAACGTGTTCTGCCATTCGTGTCCACACCCTTGTCCGCTCTGATAATAGTTTGGACATGGTGATTCAACTGCCCCGTGCGAGAGTCGCAGATTTCGATGTCCTCCCCGGGATGTTGTATTTCGAGGCAAGACACTGTTTCAACGTTGTTCAGTGCAGCACGCACGAGATCAGCGAATATTGTGCGTCAGTCGCGGTACCACAGAATGACATGCGCTTCTTCGGGTCAATCATCACTGCGTAGATTCTTTTCTTGCCACCCTGCAGCTTCAGTCTGGCGGCCTGCCCATATTAGACACTCACGACTGTTACGAAATGCGATATCTCTGGGGTCAAATCTAGGATTTTTGAGGAGTGACAACAGACAGTCAACGTCAGTTTGGGACATGCCCACACCGCCCTTACACAAGAAAATCAATGCTGCTAGTTTGCGGGAGCTGTCGAATGCCTCTGCGTGTTCTTCTTGCTGTTCTTCGGATGCGCAGTCCGCTTGTACATCAGGAGGGGGCTCAACCTCCTGGCTTTCCCCACTGACCAGGTCAATGGGACCACTATTCGACGGTCCGCCGTTGACCTCCCCAACTATCTCTTCTGTCATGCTCCTCTCTTCCACAGTGGAGGGACATGCCCGCGCTCGGTGCGAGTTCATCGTCCGCAATGACATGAAAGGTCGGCCACAGTCACACACGTGATTCGCGTCTTYCATTGCATCTACGTGCGAGGTCTTACGAATTA